ATCTGCAGCACTCAGGAAGGAAACTGATACAAAAATGGCCAGCTTTATACTGTTTAATTTTCCTCCAATTCTTCTGAAGAATCAGAAATTGGATACAGTTGGAGATGCAGCATCAGCGGAAAGAGGCAGTGCTCTGAGAGAGTACAGAGAAGACTGTCAGACACGTCTTGTTCACATGGTCAGGATCATATCAATCACCAGATTGGGGTTGAAAAGGACTTTTCTCCCTGGTCAGATGGGCATGGATACGGTGGGATTCTCACTTTTCTCAGTAGCATGGAGTGTGGTTTGCCTGCTTAGGTATTCTGTGAATATCTCACCTAGTGGGGCAAAGGGAATACCCGTACCATACAGCTTAGTCTCTTGGGCTAGTGACACACATTACACATAAACTGGTATAAGTGATTGGAAACTAGTTCAAATCTGTAACACAATAGAAGTTCAGTGCAAATAAACCACTTGCAAAATGGCCAAAACCAATTTCAGATAAACCTGGAAAGATTTAGTATCGAATTTAACTGATATAGGTTAAATCAGTTTATTGAACCTCTATCTCAGATCCCCACCAGATTCAAGTTAACTCACAGTCCCCAGCAAACCCTCTCCTGCAAACTCCCCCTGCCCTCCCACCCCCACCCTCTGAGGGAGCAGGCTAACCTTGGCCCAAGCTACCAGCTCCAGCAGAGCAGGGAGGCGTGCTCTAGCACCTCCTGGCTTCTGGCCTGGGCCACTGCAGGCATGTGGGTGCATTTCCAAAACCAAAAGTGAATTCACTTGCTTATCAGTTCAACCTATGCAGCGTAGACTAACCTGCAAAGATTGAATCGATTTAGCCTCAGGCTTTTTGACTTAGCCTTGAGGACTGCAATGCTTTAGCCTCACTAAAGTGTTGTGGCTTAATGGAGGAATAGCTGAGTGAAATGCAATGGCTTGTGAGGTACGCAAGATCAGACCAAATGGTCTGGAACTTCTCATCACCAGATCTCAAAGCATTTTCAAAAGAAGGTCATTGTTCCCATCTCACAGAAACAGATCTTAGGCACAGAAGGGCAAGAGGACTTGCCCAACATCACTCAGAAAACATGTGAGAATGCCAGGAACAGACTCCTTACCTTTTGTATGCATTGCTCTATCCACTAGCCAAGACTGCTTCTTATTCAAGCCAATGAGAGTTTTATCTCAAACTTGCTTGGGAGCAGATTAAAACCCTTTACCTCAAGCTGCCTTAGATTTGTCTTGTGGGCAATAGCTGGAAGGTTAAGCTATATTTTCAAGAAAGTTTATGGGCCAAGCTACATATGGTACTTCAGAACTCTACAGGCTTCCAGCTTCTCAAGCACTGTTTGAATATTTCAATAGTCCTGGGTTTCAGAGGCCATTAGGAGGTGAGTGCAGTTATTAACATTTTTGTCTGGCTGTTTTTTTTCAGATCTTGATAAGATAGGTTTGCTATGCAATGCACAAACTCATATGGAGATACAATCTATGGTTTCAGTGAGGCTCTATAAAGGTGAAAGAATCCATTTAAACAGTCCCAGTTACAGGATCAGGACCCAGATAGTGAATGATGTGATGCAGTGTGCTGGCATTCTGCGAGGTTTCAATGAAATAAGAACATGTTCTGATTTGACATGTCTAGGGCATATCACAAATCCTCCTAACTCCTCTCCTGTTCCACCCAGCCCTTCTCTCTCTCTCACACACACACTTGTGCACATGCACACACATGCACACACATACACAAACACAAAGCAGTAACTATTCTGCATTTCTATTGAGAATCTGAATTTCCACCACTTACATTTTAATAGAGTTCTGAGCAGGGCTAAGTGTACTGGAGGTAAAGATCATAGAGAAGACCATGGTCATGAAATTAAATGGTTTTCAGTGGGGAGTGGGGGAGAGGAGGGAGACGGACCAAATTAGCTTGATTCAGTTCTGATTAAAAATCACTGTAAATTCTATTTTGTGACTTCATTAAGCATTGGGCAAAGAGGAACTTACCTTTGAGGTTTTATTTGGTTAGAATAAAATCCATGGAAACATAGTGGGATCTAAAATTAGGCACAAGGCCAAAACAACATCTTTAAATAAAAAAATATGAATTTGCCAATTCTATTTACCTCACAGGAGTTCCTTTAAGAAAAGTAAGTCAGACAAATATGCTAACATCTAACTCTATTTTGATGTTATCAAACTAACCCTAAAATCCACTCCAAGCAACTGTTTCAGCCTAACTGATATGGACAACAGCATTACATTGAGACAGTAAGTTGAATGTCAGCTGGTCTCTTATTGTGAGTACTTCTTTTATTATACATCTGACCTTGCTTTGCCCTTGGAAATCCAAGTAAATGAGTGTATATGTGAAATAAGTAGAAGCTATGCTAAAAAGAAGCCAAAGCCATTTCTAACTATTGGAAATATTCAGAAAGTCATAGGTTGTGTTACTTGTGTTACATCATCTGCCATGCCAATGGCATCTGAGGCCAAGCAAACCTTTCAAGCAAAGTATGCACTGCTATCTTGGAAGGCTTATCCATGGGCTTGTAAGCAGACAGGATTACAAACTTATATTTTGAGGATGACGGTAATTTATGTCCTAAAGCACTTGGGTAACATCAGGGCACAATTCATTACCAATCAAAAAGCACCACTGTACTGTGGAGGTGTTCCTACAGTAGGGTTTCCAGTGCATTGGCAATCAGACAAGAAGTGACATTTTAAAAGAAAACCTGGTATTGGAAGTTGGTGACGAGTAACATCTATGAGTATGAATTTCTCTAGTTGTTCAAAACTTTTTGGACAAAATTAAGGGCCCACTACAATATTGTTATTTAGCCGTGAGCCATTGAGACCTTGCATCTAGCTGCTCTTAGAAACAAAAGTAACTACTGACCTCAGAGGGGTCTTGCCTAAAATCAGCACTTGTCATGAGTAAGAAAACACACTTAAAATCAACATGGAACCTAAATGTAGCTACTCCAAATAAAATAAATAGAAATTTTCTCCCTAGGTTTTTAGACACACCTGATATTTCCCACCCCACATTTTGGGCATGATTGATCCCCAGGACTCTAGCATCATGCCTTCCTCCATGCATCTCTGTTGTCCCAGGGTAAGATTCTTACTGCCATTCTGGGTCTTGCTCCTTACAATGTGTGCCCTTTCTACCCTAGGGTGCCAACCCTTCATGATTGCCCTGGAGCCTCCAGGAGTTAGATATAAATCTCCAGGAGACTGCTGAGAGTCACCTGGGAGATAAATGATAGGGCATTCATTAAAATAAATATTACATGTTGAATCTGATCTATACAATAGCCCAGTGGGTTTTTAAAATGTAATAGTAGTGTGCATTTGCCTTCCTGATGCAAAGTCTACATACTGTAATCTGTAATTAATATATGCAAGCACACGGGCAAGTTAGCATTGTGTGTTGTGGGCATGTTGGCATTCCAGAAACTTTCCGGAGTAGATTCAAACAGAGCTGGCAACCCTGTTCTACCCCCCTAAATATATTTGAAATTCGAAGTCTGTTTTTATCCCATGTTAAGCAGACACCATTGGCTATTTGAGTGCAGTATGTTTAGAGGAGCCTTGCATCTAGATGGATCTAACTGTTCCTTGATTTTTATAGAAACTTATGCTTCTGGTAAATAAATGTCTCCAGATGGTGTTTTGAGGAATTCAGCTTCCAAGCTTGAGTGACTATTACCTTCAGGCCTTTCTCAGAAAGATGAGAGGAGGTGTTCATGGGAAAGCCTTCCAACACCTCTCCCCTGAGACGTCAGGGGAGAGGGAAATGTAGCTAGACTAAGAATTCCTTTACATCAGGTGGAAAATTGGAGCATCATCAAAAAATCTTGTAAAGTGGAGTGGGGACAAGGTGATGTTACAAAGCCCCTTCTTACTGCTAGAGTCCTCTTCAAAACAATGTTCAGTGAAATAACCTGACAGCTTTCCTCACCTACCACTTTCTAGCATATTCAGAGGCACGTTATCTCCTGACACTTCTCGCTTCCTATCTAGTGAATACAAGATAGCTTCCACAGCTGCATGCAAGCGTGATGATGTCATTGTGTTGGTACACATGGGTAGGGAGTACCAACACACCTTTATAGATCCTCCCTGTTGAACACAACCAAGTAAGTAGTGACTTGAAATGCAGACTCATGCCACTTCCTCCCCTTAGTGGCTTGGGCACCACCCAGAAGATGCTAACAAAGTATCAAACTGAAGTACCTCACAGAAAGCACTTGATCCCTCAGAGTGGTGGCTATAATTTGTAGATGAACACCAATAACTTGTTACATAAAGTTGTAATGCATTCTTTAACGCATTAGTGCCATGCATTTTTAGTGTTGATAAAGATCTGTGATTAATGCAACTAGTGTATCTACTGTGTATGCTTTCCCACATAGCTATGCCTCACTCCCAGCCTGCAACTACTCTGCTATTCAATACACAGGTTCTCATCATCGCAATGCCTGAGCTAAAATTGGTGATGGTTTAGTAACGTACATAAATAGGCCCTAGGATGAGAATGATTACCTGCTACGAAAGGTCATTTTCTTCTCTCCTTGTGCATATAGTTTTATTGTTTTTAGTGGAACTGCTTATATTAAGGCCTAGTCTAACTCCCATTTTAGTCAGGTCCCATTTATTTTGATAAGTGGGATAATAAATGAATTAACTTAATACACTCACTGATAATGAGTGAGAAGTAAAATGTGGCCCTAGAACTAGTCTTCTGAGCCAAATGGTCAATGGTTATTTTGACATCTATCAGTGAAGAATAACTTAAGTTTTTTAATGTTATAAGAACCAAGTCATATTTATACTAGCAAGCCACATATAGAATGCTTAGCATATCAATATAGCAGATTTTCCTTTCTATCTTTTATCTTCCAAAGGACCTTTGGATTGTTTGATATATGGACCTTTCAATATATGGATTTTTATTATTTTGGATGATAGGATTTAAAAAAAACAAAATAAGATTTTGTTTTGTAAAATTTATTTAGAACCTATGTATCAGAGTTTAAGGCATTATTTCCATTATAGTTTGATTCCTGTTTTTTTAATAACAAAAAATTAACAATGACCAATCTATTTGCTAGGGATAGCTTACATCCCATGTAATTTGCTTTACCATATATCACAATATATAGGTTTATTTCTAGATCTCCAGTTCCAGCTGGAACTGTGTGTTTATAACCAAAAATAAAGATTCTGTTTACAAAATGCTGAAAATTGAAGATGGCAGCAATCTGTGGTTTGGAAGACAGGTGGACCTATGATTGGACTCCCAAAGTACTTAAAGATTACAAAAATGGCAGGATGAATCTTCTCATCTCTAATGAGCCTCACTCATTTACATTGGACAAAGTCCATATTCAATCCTACATTGTGATATTAAAATACAACGTGTACAGCACATAATTTAATGACTAGAGATTTCCATTTAAATTTCTGGGTTCTTCTAATCGACATCATTGCAAAATTTTCTTTCCTGTGGGACAAAAAAAAATCTGTTAGTTAAAAGGTAGCAATGCAAACTTCAGTAAGTGTTAACTGTATATATGTACATATAGTGTACAAATCACTTACTTCTAATCAAGAGAAGACAATGTACACCATTAATGCACAACCAATTATCCAGCCAACCACAAGAAGTGCAGGTATAACAAAACGTGAGTATTGATTTTCTGCTGAAGAGAGAGAATATAGATTTTTATTCAGAGAAGGGCATAGTAAGGGCACATTATACTAATTCTAAAATCCATACAGTTAAACATGAAAAAACTATCATTATCTTAAAACAAACAACAGTGTTCTGAGACAACAAGCTAGCATTAGTATTATCATCATCACCATTATTGCTGTACAAATCACTCACTACTATCAAGAAAAAACAGTGTACAACCACTAATGTACAACCATTAGACTCGCCATATCTTGGCTGGCTTAACTACAAAGATGCATAGCAAAAGCAGAGACAGAACTTTAGTTTCTATTGTCCAGCAGGTATAAGGAGAGCTCAAGGAGAGGGTACAGAACTATGGTCCTCTCTTTTATCAGCATGGGCTATAAGACCTTTACTCACACAAGCTCTCCCAGAAGAGACAATCCCCCTCTTGCATACACACCTTCTGGCATTCCTATTGGGTTGGCACCACTAAACTAAAAATATGATGGCTCTTCAGCATCACATTTGTGCCCAAAGGCTCCAAGCAGGATGTCAAGAACATATTCTCGATGTATGCTCATACTGTAGGCTAGTCTGGCCACTCAGGCACTGCGTGGTATAAGGTCACATCACCAAAAGATGGTTCACCATGGTATTACCCTCAAGGACTCACTACCCTTCCCTGAGCTTCCTGGAGTCCAGTGTGCACACGGAGACTGAACCATCTTTTAGCCAAATGTAAAGGCAATATACTATGGTGAGGGCTGTGGTGGCTACCCATTAATGTGATATTACTTACAGGTCTCAGTTTCCAAATAAAACAAGAGATAGCATACAGGATACCTGGGGAAATTGTATGTGTGATGTGGCACACAATTTCTTGCCATTCATTTGACAGGAACATGCCACCAGTTTGGCTGCTCTGGTCCACTCTGATCCAAACAATGGGACAGCTTTTCTATGATAGCTGCTAGGACATGGACAAGTTAATTGCAAGCCTAAGAGATTTTTAATTTCTATCTAGGATGATGCTTCTACATGAAGATTTTCATAAAGCAAAGTGGGATTAGAAAATATCTGTTTCTGTTCTTCATCAGAATTTCAATAAATATTTTCCAACTGATTCCAGTAAACTGCAAGCATGTACTGCAGGAGCTTACTAAGAAAGTATGACATCAGCAGCAGTACTCTGAGTTTAGGATGAGATCATGTTAATTCTCTTCCATCAGAGAAACTTCCTTTGCCAATGAAAAACATTGGGAAACTTTTGATGGGTTAATTAATAGCATATGGCCATGCCAAACATTTTCTGAATCAAAAACTGACAGCCTTTGAGACATACCCTGTAGTTTAGTATTTCCTATTAAAGCTACATAACAGACAGAAAGAGAGAGAGAGAGAGAGAAATCAAGGCTCAAAAACTATTATACCTTTATCTAAAATACAGAACAGAACAGAACGGCAAATATATATAAATAACCACATAGACCAAATATACAATTTAGCTACAGGATTCTGATTACACCATCCCACAGGGGAATTCAAGAACCATGTTTTCCTTCATAGATACTGTGTCACATTTGATCCTTTTTAAGGGGGAGACACTTCAGGGAATGATTTCTCTTTGCCGGCCATATTTCCTAAAGGGCGTATTACAAATGAAGGGCCAGAGTCTGCAGGGACACAGATGAGAGTTTTAACAGAGCACATTGGTGACTTGCCAGTGGGGCTGCAGAGCATGGTGCTTTGTTACTAGAAGTCCAATTTAGCTGAAGTAAGTAAGATAATAGCAGCAGACTTTGTGAGCTGGTTGGTCAGAAACAACTCTGTGCCTGTCATTTGTCATGAAGCACAAAGCAGCTGGCTGTGAGGAGTAATGTTTCACAGGAATCATTGGAAGTATATGTTTCATAGTTTCATAGAATTTAAGGCCAGAAGGGACCATTAGATCCCCTGTCTGACCTCTTGTATACCAGAAGCCATTAAGTTTTGAACACATACACTTAATGTTATAAGACTTGAGCGTTGCAATCATCAGGAGATTAAACTGGACAGCATAAGTAGAGAGAACAGGAGAGACTAAGGTGTCACCAATGCTAAGGGCTCCAGCATAAATAATATATGACTATGCCAAATATTTTCTGAACCAATGGACAGACTTTGAGACATACTCTATAGTTATATATAACCTAACAGGCAAACTCACTGCAGAGAGCAATGTGAAAAACCTTAAAAGTCTCTGCCAATTTGACTTGGGGGAAAATTCCATCCTGACCCCAAATCTCCAAATCTTAAACTTTAATATGACCTTGCACCCATGAGTAAGAATCCAGTTAGGCATCTAGAAAGAGGATTCTCTGGGCCACCATATTACGTGTCCTGTTTCTCCACCATGGCTAATTACTAAAGCTTTAAAGGAAAGTGGCAGGGGAGGGGGAAAAAACTGTATATTTTTGGCAGCTGTGCATTGGAGGTAAACATTTCTCTCTGTCCTTAGTGTGAGTGACTGAAGCCTCCAAACATGGTATTTGATTATAAATAGCTGTTTCGAGGCAGACCTGCCAGTGCTATGAGCATGCTGAGGCAATCCTGGCTTCCCCCAGGTCCACAAGGGAAGGGGACAAACAAGCGGAAGAACAATCTACGTACAGCTCCAGCATTCCCCTGGAAGTGATCCAAGCTCCAAAGCCAATGGAAACATTTCTGTGAACTTCAGGAGACTTTGGCTCAAGCATGTGGTGGACAGCAGGAGCAGCTCAAAAGTCTGCCATGTCCCCCGTAAGCCAGTCAGCATCCACACTCCTGGTATGTTTTGTCTTTGCCCCATTGCACTTGTTTTTGCTCTTCCTCAGTGGTGTACATCTCCTTCTGAGGGTGGGGAGAGAGGGAGGAGCCCCATGCATTGTTCTTCTCACTGCACGGAAGCTCTCCTGTGCACATGATGGGTAAACACTATGTGCTTTGATCTCTGTAGTTCAGCCGCTTGCAAGAGCCCAGTCCTGCAGTGCTCCTTCCTAAAAGTCATTCTAGGGAAGCCAAGGATCCCTCAAGTAAAAAATATCTGAAGGAGTAAGGGTCTACAGGCTACAAGGATCACCGAGAAATCTGAAATGTATAATCTAAGCCAGGGGTCAGCAACCTTTTTTTACATGTCATGGGCCAGAACAACACAGTTCTGGTCCAATACAGACAAGGTGGGTTTGGGGCATATTAGTAGTAGAAGTGCTTTCCTCATTCCCCTGCTGGGACCAAGCAGCTGGTAGCTGTGCCTCCACCACTTTTCCCAGTCCCTCGCTCCCCAGTTGCGGTGCAGGCACAACTTCCAGCCATCAGGGAGCTGCACCAGGACCAGGAATCTGCGAATTGCGTCTACACTGCTGCTGCTTCTTCCTGATCCCCCTGTGCTTGGCTGTAGCACAGGCACAACTTGAAGCTACCCAGCCCCAGTGCAGCTTCCTACTGACGGAAAGCTACTCTCATGCCCCAGCTTGGTAGCAGGGGGCTGGGAGAAAGTGCCAGCAGCATGGGTACAGGGAAAGCCCTCTGCCACTAGCTCAATGCTGAAACTACCCAGCCCATGTCAGACTGAAGCCAGGAGGGCAGGTAGAAGTGATAGCAGCATGGGTGCAGCTGGAATCTACCCAGCCCCAGTGTGGGCACAGGCATGGGCACAAACAGAGCCCTCTGGCTCTGTGATCCTGGTCCAATGGCTCTATGGGCCTGATCTGGCCTGTGGGCCATATGTTGCCAACCCCTGCTTTAGACAGCTGATCACTCACAGATTCCTCCTTTATTCCAGAACTTTATACAGGTTCAGATAAAACTCCCACTGACATAGACAGGATTATGACTAGGGTCTCAGAGAATTCCCAGTACCCCCGAGATGTCTGAGTCTGAACTGGGTTTATGCGGGTTAGTAATGCAGTCACAAAAAGGCTCCATTTTACTTTAGACCAACGTCAACGGGCATGGCAGGGGCAGAGACCAATTTTCCTTTTGCCCAGGGTGGTTGTTCTGTCTCTTATGTTCCCTTCACTAAATACCTCAAGCAGACTCTCCATATTTCACTTAAGGCAGCAGATTGTTTCATATTCTAAGCTGTGAAGGGTGTGTATATGGGTGTACATCCACCCAGCCACCCAGCCATCCAAACAACTAAACTACTCTCTGGATATTTCACTTAGGAACGATAATCAGCCTGTCCTTCCCCTACCCAGATGATGCATGTACTTATCCTGGATTTTTTTTGCTACTCTTGTAATATATGGGATTTATTTTGTTTGTTTGTTGGTGGGGGGAGGGGGCCTGGGTTTTTTATCATTTTGAATTTAAATTTCTTGGTAAGAAATCTTCAAAGAGCCATAAGGGAATGCCATTCTTACAAAGAAATAATACGGTAGACAAAGAAGTTCTGGTTAAAGCAGAAAGTCACAACAATTAAAGATAGATATCTGGTCGGTGCCAAAGTATTATTCTAAGAAAAAGAAATGCTCCCTCTAGAAAGTGATCAGCAGAAACAAAATAATCCATCTGCTGACAGTGAGCTCAGACTGAACTGGCTGCTTGGTTGAGGCATCAAGATTGCATGGTGTCAATAAAACGATTAAACAGTTTATCACCGTGTAGTCATGCATACTTAGAATGATGATAACATAAATCTGCTTAAAAGGCTCTGTTGGTGGTGGTGTGGATGAGAGGCATAACTTTATATTTTGGCAGCTAGGGCAGCATCAGGGTCTGCTGCTGCTTTGGCACAAGCTCTCATAATATAGGCTGTAGCGGCAGCACAGGCTCTGTGGTGGCTGCCATTCTGGTGCCACCTCTGGATCTGCACCTGGGATCGGTGTCCCAGTTGCCCCTACCCAGCTTATGCTACCAGTGAGGATGATAAACCATCTCCCATACATGCCTAGACGTCACAAGCTCAATCCGTCTACTACCCAGATGCTAAGTCTCATGGACAATGTTATTGAAGATACTCTGTGCATTACTGACAAATAATTTTACCAACAAACTGGATATAGCAGAGACTCTGGGACTGATTGCATCAGCCACCGTCACATTTTAAAATCATTACATTCCTCACTTTTTCATTTAAGCAAAATTGCCTCCCAATTTATTGTCTGCTGCCCTCAATACTTAAAGACTGAAGGCCCTTATTGAAGAAATCCTATTCAGCTTGTAGTGCAGGACTCAGGACTTTGGGAAAAGACATACCTCTATCCTTGCTGGAAAGAAAGCAGCAAGGTCTAGATGAAAGGGCATCATGTTGAAAATTTGGAACCAGGAGGATTCCAGGCTCCACCAGGATCTTACAGGAAACCTTAACTAAATCACTTTTTCCTTCATTTCTTTATTGCAAAATAGAGCTATGAATATTAATTTCCGACCAATGCAAAGTATTTTGATCTCTGGAGAAAAATGACTAATTATTATTACTAATTGTTCATAACGGATAGAAATAAAAAGTGTCATTCACCATGCAGATGTATTCAAGATCAGCAGTTTTCTCTGTGCTCGATAACTATAGTAATAGCAAAAAATACTCTTACTAGTTTTTACTGGATATATTTATATTATATATTTTCATAAGGTAAACAGCATATTATTAAACATTGTTATTTATATGAGTAAAAAAACAACCTGAGTAACTATATGTGCCAACCAAACTCTAGATCCACAGTTAACTTTCTACTTTTTAGCTAAAGCTCTTGAGAATGGTGTAAAATACAAGCAACTGGAACAGCCTGCCACCGGAGGTGGTTCAAGGGCCTTCATTGAACACCTTCAAGATGAAACTGGATGCTTATCTTGCTGGGATCCTATGACCCCAGCTGACTTCCTGCCCTTTGGGCAGGGGGCTGGACTCGATGATCTTCCGAGGTCCCTTCCAGCCCTAATGTCTATGAAATCTATGAAACTGTGCACAAAAAATTCACTTTTTCCATTTTGTTTCTTAAAGGCAATCAGTGAAAAATTCATTCATGATTTCTCTATTCTCTGCCACTCTGAATCTACACTGCTGTACTGTAGCTCATATCAGACACAAAAAGAGTTTTACTCTGCCTTTGTGACTGCAGCCTGAGATTAGGGAATGTATTTGTATATCAAATACATTACTCAGCATGATCATACCAGTTTAATTGTGTGACAGGGATCCAATTAACATAAAGAAGCACACATCTAGTTAAGTAGCTTGCTATGACAGGTTATTAAAAAACAAAAAAAAATGTGAATAGCTAAAAACGACCAAAAGATAAATGTTTTCTTTTTAATGTGTTTACTACATTTCATCTGTGATACACTTGCTATATAGTCCTTTTCAGCTTCAACCTGTAGAGCCAGTCAGCTTTCCATTCTTTCATGTTGAGAAGAAAATAAATAAGAGAAACTCAGAGAGAGAAATATGATTATCAAAATTGCAAAAACAGGTAAAAAAATATTTTATCTGAAGCAGGATGGAAACCCAAATCTGCTTTATTTCTCTAGCTGAACTAGTTTTCAAGCTGGCAGTGCCTTTTATTGAGAAGGGAAATATGCTGTGCATTGTACAGAAATTAGTATTTTAGGATTAACAAAATATGTTTAGGCTACATTGTTATACACTGTAAATATACATCATTCTACAATAATATTTAGCGGTGCTTCTTACCTGGCTCTGCCATTCCTTCCCTGCTGAATTTATGGACAAGTTTAAAGGTTTGCTTCTGTAGTTGTTGCTGTGAGCTTAAGGGATGCTTTAAATAGAGCAATATTTGGAACGTATGCAGCTGCTTTGCTTGCTGATGCCAGTTTTCTGCTATATGAATTCAATTGTTTGAAAAGACAGGAGTTCAGGGTCTTACCACTTGCTATTCTTGTAGTAAAAGAACGCTCAGTAGACAGAGGTCATTTTTTTCAAAGGACATGAAACAAGGACTGATGTCTGATTTATGGGATCTTTTAACAGCTGTGAAATATTGTATGATAAATTTTGCTGTTTCATTGTGTTATATTCATGTGCACCAGTTTATTTATAGCACAACTAGGATCCAGCTTGCTGCTGAGTGCCCAGGCCTTTTTTAGTCCACTCACTGATAAGAAAACAAGCAAGCGCTTGTTTAAACAACTACACTTTTTTATTAAACTACATTATTTATATGCACATTAATATCAACCATTTCCCTAGCATCAGCAGTGACTTGGGACTGCACTGGACAGAGTTGGAGTGTTTGTAACTGCTTCTCAAAGTTTACAGTGATGATCCTCTCTTTTTATTATGTAAATAAGCGAATGCAATTGGGCCACTCAGAGGTGTAAGGTTAAAAAAAAAAGGTTTGGTCATAAATATAAACACATGCAGTTCAATAAAATAATTAAGAGCTGCATATTTTACTACTTCAGGGGGAAACACATAAATTGTTGCCATCTCCATACCAAAAATAGTTAACTACATGGATTGTATGAAGGAGAAAAATCCACAGAGAAGTCACTAGGACATGTTTCTGCCTGTTGCTTTTTCATTAATACAGATGAAGGATCTGTTCAGAGATCATTAGATAGATAAAACCCAGGAGAGTTTATTCAGAACTGGACATATGTGAAGGTTTAATTGTTTAACACACAAACAATGACCAGTGTTGTTCTTCAGGGGCAGGATGACCCTATTTAATTTTCAGCAAGATTATAGGTCTCCCAGAAAAATGAGTCTGATATACAGTTCTGTTTCAGAGGGATGCTTAAACGTAACACAAAGCAAAGCTTTTTTTTTAAATGTGGCTTTGAAATGTAAAATTACTGTGTTGGTCAAAAGCTGCCTCACAAATTCATAGAATGCTTTGAGGTTATCTGACCCAAATGTTTGTAGGGCAAGTAGCTTAGGAAAACAGATCATACTGTCCCAAAAGTCTGCCCGCAGCCCCAACAGCAATGGTTCTCACAGCATATTATGCTGATCTTCATAATGTAATTACCCCTTTTTCTTATTCCTGTTTTACCAGTGAAGGTTCCCACAGTTAATGTTCAAATCATTGTCAATATTTTTCAGTGTTTTTCAGTGTTATCCCTTTATTTAAGAAAGATGCAGAGTGCAGGTTGCCCACAGAGTCAAAAAGATATTTTTGAAGGTTTTCTTCAAAATCATAAGGGTTAGCAACTTAATATATTGTTTCAGATGAAACCTTAGATTCTAGAGCACAAGACGGCATCCACAGAGAAAAGTACTGCCTCATGAAAACAAAAGACACAAGCTGACCTGTTGCAAACAAGTACTTGTTTTTTAAGAAGCAGATTTCTGCTGGGAGCAATTGCCTGTACTGATATCCTAATTGATCATCATTGGGCCTCTCTCCCAGGCACCTTCAGAAGCCTTAGTGTAGCCCAGACTCTGGGCTGGCAGAGTGAGGGGTATTTTCAACTCCTGGGCCTATAGAGATTAGCCTTAACTTATAAAAAACCTTTATAAAAGGCAAATCAAGGTCATTGACACACATAGTAAAGTGTGGTTATCAATGCACAAAAAAGAGCCAATATTTCACATGCAAGAATGCAAACTGGGACCCAACTCTTGCATAATTGGCATCTGTCTGCAACATATTTTGTTTGGGATGAACAACAAAAAAGCCAATGACAATGGGAAGTTTTAAACAAAATTATTTCCAAGGCTAGAGTCAGTATTATAGAAACCACAAAAATATACAAAAAAAATTTGTTCTGAGTTTGACCGTGGTGTAATACAATTGGCTTCAGTAAAGCAACAGCAAGGATGACTTTAAATTATTAGGTATCTGTTTCCTTTGTTACTGTAAACAACTTTCATCCCTGTCTGCGGAGCTCCACAGAGTTTCCATGATTATGACCAAAGAAAAACAACTGAAACTAAATAATTTCACCCCTGGGGTTCCTGCAAATCTCCAGTATCAAATGTTTGACTCTTTCTGATTTTTTCCCGTTACTCATATTTCAATATAGATGCGATACAGATTCAATACCAGCTTTAGGCTGATGGAAGTCCAGTGAAGTAATATAATGGCACATGAAGCCTGGTCTGCCCAGTTGAGGGATGTTATTAATTCCCCTCTATTTACTGACCATAATGTATGCTACTTGTGTGCCACTTTTTGCTGTCCAATCTTACCTTCTTTCTGTCCTTTATTCAAGCTTCCTTTCAAGCTTCCTTAGACCAAACTGTGCAAAAAAAGGTATGACTGGAAGTTAAAATTGCTGCTAATTTCTGTTGGAAGCACCATGGCTTTTCCCTGGGTGCATATTCCCAGAGTGGGTGGTCTTGGATTATTGTATTCATTTATCCATGATCTCCAAAACTGCATGCAGACTTTAACACAGGAACTACCACAGGCTCTATGATGATATGGAGCTGTGCTTCAGGCTTGGTCTACAAAACCACAATTGGTGGTGCTGTCTCCTACATTGGGGGTCTTCAAAAGGAGGCTGGACAGATATGGTGGTGTTATGACCCCGCACTCATTCCTGCCTGGGACAGGAGGTTGGTTGGACCTGATGATCTGTTTAGATCCCTTCCAACCCTAAGCACTATGAAACTATTGCATCATTTGCTTTCCTCCTTATAATACAACAGAATGAAGCTTAGGGCCTATAATGAAAGAGGCCAGTAGGGGTGTGAGAAGCTTCAGTCCCTGATTCGATTTGGTGGAGATTCGGCCGGATTCGATGGCCAAATCTGCAAATCTGAATCAAATCAGGAGACCCTTTAATCTCTCCAAATCAAATCGGAACCCTCTGAATCAGTTTGGAGAGATTTGGAAAGATTCGGACACAGACACAGCTTTAAATGTTTTTTCTATATACCTCAAGGTACCAGGTGGCTCGTGAATGTTGAAATGCTGGGGTGGATGGAGCATCCCACAGGAATCTGGGGGCTCCCCAGCATGCTCAGCAGCAGACCCAGAAGTGAACCAGAAGCACTTCTGGTCCACTTCCCGGTCTGCCAGGGAACACACAGGGGGCCTCCCCACTCTCCCTCCAGCTCAGTGACTGGTGATGCCTGGGTCTGGGAGTGGGGCACCTTGGGTCCTCCTGCAGCCGATCACTGAGCCGGGCAGGTGCAGGGGGGGACCCCATGCGCTTCCTGGTGGACCTGGAAGTGGACTGCAAGTAGTTCCAGTCTACTTCTGGGTTTGCCACCAAGCTTTTGGGGGCCCCTCACACTCCTGTGGGATGCTCCATCCGCCCCAGTATCACAGCATTCATGAGCTGTGCTGGTACCTCGAGGTATGTAGAAAAAACATTTAAAGCTGTGTCTATGGCTGAATCGCTGATTCTCCAAATCAGCATTGAATCTTCAGATTCAGATTCACCTGAATCAAATTGGGGACAGTGATCCAAATCAACCAATCATATCACTCTCCCCAATTTGGGTTGAATCCATTAATTATCTGTATGTTTGTCTGTCTGTCTGTATTCTTGTGTGTGTCTGTTTGTATGACTGGTGTGTCCAAGTTAATGTATCTGCTTCATGCAATCAATAAATATAGCATTTTGCCTTTTTCCCCTTTGATGGAAGGACTTCCAGTGGCTTTTAAAGCACTGGATCAGTTTGTGTGTGCAGTTCTAATAAACTTCTAATAAAGGTCTAATAAAACTCATTATCCGTTTATTTTTTATTCTTGCTACATCCTGAAGCTGTTGTTCCTTATCATACTGTTCTTAGAGCCTTCATGCCCAGATTTCCTCACAAGCTATAAACAACCATTCCTCACCCAGGTGGTCTAGCATTACATTTAAGGGAGAGTGTAAATTACCAAACTTAAGCAGCAAAACTCACTCTCTCTTCCAAGAGGACAGTCAGCTCCCAACTGGGAAACATTAACCTCTCTTCCAAATTCTTCAGCATTACATTTGAGATCTCATTGTAAAATTACAGGATAAACAACCAAAACAACAGTCTTTGTCTTTTACAAAGTTCAACTTTTGCTGGCTTTAAACATGTCTGTTTTTCCACAGACTTTGGAGTTTCTCTTCTATTCCATGTCATCAAACACAGTATTTCCCCACATATCTTTCTTTAAAATGATTCTTATAGAAGTCAGAATTTGAGAAAAATGGTTCCCAAAGTTTTCCCCACCTATAATGTATACTCGTAATGTGTGCACATGAATCATTTAAAGCCTGAAGAGATTTTCTAATTATTGACTTAGGCTTTCTTTTTTTTTAAAAAAGCAAAACCCTAAAATATGAATCTAATCGACAGTCTAGTCTAGGACCTTTCTCCTAATCTAAAATGCAGATGCATTTGTTTTATTTCTACTCCCCCATTTTAAATCACAGCTCAGGCCTTTAAAGGTGTACAATTCTTCCTGTCTTCTCGATTTAGTCCCTACTGGTTTTACTCAGCAATTTATTGGTTCACTTAAGGAATAATAATTAAAAAAAAAACCTGATATGGTAGAGTATTCAGAAAGACACCTGATAGGGTCCATCACTGAGTGCTTGAAGGAATCTCAAATAGAAAACACTTGACTCAGCTGGCTTATGAACCACTGGGGAATTGGTGATAAAGTCTTGATTTTTTTTAAAAACTTAGATAAGAAAGAACAAAGCCAAAACAGTCAAAGAATGTAGTGGAATCAAGTGAGATAGATAAACAGTGCAAGTCCAAGAGGCAAGGATTTCTTATGGTAGTATATTTGTCTCTTGGATAATTTCATAGATTTCATAGACATTAGGACTGGAAGGGACCTCGACATCATCGAGTCCAGCCCCCTGCCCCAGGGGCAGGAAGTCAGCTGGGGTCATAGGATCCCAGCAAGATAAGCATCCAAATGTCTCTTGAAGGCATTCAAAGTAGGTGCTTGAACCACCTCTGGCAGCAGTCTATTCCAAAACTTGGCAGCTCAGACTGGAAAGAAGTTCTTCCTTATGTACAGCCTGAAATGGTCATGGAGGAGTTTGTGACTGTTCGACCTTGTCATCCCTTGGGGTGCTCTGGTGAACAGATGTTCCCCCAGATCCTGGTAAGCACCCCTAATAAACTTATAGGT